GCAAGGTCGTGAGTTCGGTTCCCGGTACCGGAGAAAAACCAAAAAAAAACAAAAAAAAAAAAAAAAAAAACCAAAAAGAATCACGCAGTTTCAGTGGTCTTGATCATTTTTCTGATGTGGTTATTTTTTCCTAGCTGAACTGCTCACCAACATCCCATATATTCTTCTGTCTGAGTCTCTTGAGTAGTTAAAATAATAAAATCGTGGTTTGTCAGAAAAGTCAAATATCAAGGCATTGTATTCCATAATAATTGACTGTGCTAATGTGAAATGTGTATTTGGTCTTCTTCCCACTTCTGGTTATATAGTTCATAAAATTGTCAGAATCTCCCGAGTAACAAATATTTCTTGGATACTGGTAAACTGACTGGTAGACGGGGTCTGGTCACTGGAAAGACCAATGCAAGATTAAAGGGTTGGGAATTCAGCCCCAACTTCTGGGAAGAGGACTGCAGCTTCAACTGATGATTGAGGAACAGTATTTACTCAGTCATGCCTATGTAATGGAGTTTCCATTAAAAAACAACCAGAGCTGGGGATACAGCTCAGCGGCACAGCACCTGCCTGGCAAGCACAAGGTACTGAGTTCGATTCCCAGCACCAAAAAAAAGAAAAAAAAAACAGCAGAAAGGACCAATTTTGAGTGGCTTCCAGGTTAAACACATAAGAGATTTCTGGAAAAAAAAAAAAAAAGATTTCTGGAGAGTATCATACCTAGAGGGGCACAGAAGCTCCATGCCCCTTCACATATATCTTGCTGTTTCTCTTCCATCTGGCTGTTCATCTGCATCCTTTGCAATACCCTTGATAGTAAACTGGTAACACTGGCAAGTGATTCTCTGAACACCGTGAGCTGCTTGAGCAGGTTAATTGGACGAAGGAGGAGGTCACGAGTACCCTGCTTTATACAGCTGGCCAACCAGAAGTTCCAAAGGCTTGGGCTTGCACCTGAAATGAGAAGCAGTCTTGTGGGCCTGAGTTCCTTAACCTGCTGTCTTCAGGTAGTGTCAGAATTGAATCGGAAGATGCCTGCCTGGTGTATGCTGCAAAAACCATTGGTCTCTGGGGCGAGAGAAGTCTACAATTTGGCGACCAGAAGGGTTGTGTTATATTCACTCCATCATCCAGACTGATACTTTGCATGACTCACCCACTGGATCTTCCAGACAGAGTTCAAGTTCAAAATGTACTACCTGACATCCAATAAAAACTAAAAGTCTAAAAAACATGCCCTTCCCACTAAAAAAGATATTTGCCCAAAAAAGATATTCTCAGAGTAAGTGCTTCTCAGAATTGAATAGAGAAGTCTAAAATAATATTTCAGGGGGGATTCCCTGGTTCACGAGGGAATGTCTTTACATCCTCTTTGTGACGACAGGTCAATTTAGGTTCAAATCCTGTATCCACCAGGGGTATGTGACCTTGAACACCTTGATTAACTTCTTTAAACTTCATTTTTTTTCTTTAAGAAGAGAAGCGCTTAATAAGATAATTGGCAATGAATTACTTAATATATGTAAAGCACAACAGTGCTTGCTGCACAGTAAGCCCTCAGTAACTAACCTATGTAAGTATACCACAACCTTAGGTGGCTTACAAATTACAAAAACCTAAGATAATTCAACAAAGGTCTGAAGAGCCTGGGACCCTACCAACGTGATAAATGCTCAAGCATGTTAAGCACCACCGTGGAGCGGAATGGTTTAGAGAGTCTTAAAAACAGGGTCAAAATGACTTAAGAAAGTGCTATTTCGTCTTTTAATGTTTTACCTATTTTCTGAACAAAGCTTCAAAAGAGGGCAGCTAGGGGAGCTAGTTGATGCCTTCCACGTGCCCTAGGAGTAAAATGAAAAATATCCACTTAAACCTGCATGTCTGCCTCGTGACACACACAAAGCGCTCAGCTACGGCTTGAGAAAACGCAGAGGACAGCCCCGTGACAGCCACCATGGGGGGCGGGGTGTGGGGCAAAAGGGCAGCGGTTTGTGTGGGCTGAACCGAAACACGACGCTAAGACCTGAAATAGGACTCCTTCCCACTGGCGAGGCGCTAACCCTGGGCGCTCGGGGAGTGCGAGGCGGCCAGGCTCATTAACCAAAACAATTCGTGCCCGACCTCTTTCGAAACCACCTAGTGGGATGGGACGTTAGACAGAAAAGTCAGGGCAGGACCCACAGTCTAGGTTCGAGGATGCACTGTGCCCCGCGAGGGCGCGGTGGGGCGTGGAGCCAAGGGCAGCCCCAGGCTGGGGCAACGCCCCGGCACAGCGCCTCTGCCCAGAGAGGCGGCGGGCGGGGGCCGAGGCGGGTCTCCCTGCCTCGGGGCGGGGTCGCCGACCTGCCGAAACACCCGCCCTGGCCGCGGCTCCCCCGCAACCTGCAGCCCTTCGCAGTCCGCACAGCCCTTGGCGCTGCCCACACTCGCTTTACAGATTCGCGGCTGCGGCGGTTCCGAAGCCAGCGCCCCTGGCGTCATGCTGACGTCACGCGTGACGCCTGGGCGGGAAGGCGGGGCTGGCGCGAGAGGGCGTTTCCGGAGCGCGCGCGGGGAGACGGCTGCTGACGTCGGGCTCAGGTGCGCGCGCCCGC